CTGGCACACTATGGCTGCCGTCGCATCATCCAGGTGGATGCTGCACATTGGTGGTGGTGGAGGGGAGTCCCTATTTCCTGAAAATCGCATTGAGTGGAGTGTCCAGAAAAGTGCTATATAAGTGTAAGCAATTATTATTATTATTATTGTTGTTAAGTCAGACAGGGTACTAAAAAAACAAAAAAAAAACCACCACAACTACAACTAAACTACAACTTAAAAAAACACAATTTTTAAAAAAAGAAGCAGTGATGTTTTTTAAATCTGATATCCTATGACTTTAAAACAAGTTATGCTTTTTCCCCTGACTCAGTATGCCCACAAAAGATTAGCACTGATAAATCCACAGCTGACCTTAAAAACACATTTTCTATAACAGTGACAAAAATTGTACAACATAATCAAAATGAGGTCTTTTAAATGTATTATACACTTTTTAATGTAGCATACCTTTATTTAAATGTAAAACGTTTAGCTATTCTTTTTCATAAGTATTCTTTTCTAGCTCAGTGTGTCTTGTATTTAGTTTTTGCAGCATTCTTGCACAACTCTGCACATCTCTACCTCAAACATAATCTGCCACATGCTTGTCTTGAATTCTATCTTTTTTTTCTTAATCTTTTTTCATTTAATTTGCATGTTCTACAGTGTTTGCTAATCCTCTTAATTTGGTATAATCTACAAATATGACTAGTTACTTAATATATTAAAATAGTAGCATTGAGATGATAAAAGAGTAATATTGGTCCGAGTACAGTTCTCTGTGGTACCACAGGAACCAGGGGACTTAAATGGCAACTGTGAATACTGTAAGTGCATTTACAATCGAGAACAGGGTCAAAGGGTTGTGAACATACAGAACGAACTACCCAGCCATGTTAGAAGGAATAAAGCAACCAATCTGCTTTGTGTGTGTTTGGGTGAAACTTAAACTTTGATAAAGAGACCATATTTGGAAAGTAATTTGCCAGTTTAACTGTCCGTCTGTTGTTAGAGATGAAGAGAAGAAGTTCAGTTAGGAGCTCAAAGAGAACTTGGGTTTTTATTTTGTGTTTTGGTTTATTATCACCACACTGCAATTAAAAGAGGTTTTGTACTTTATGGCTACTTTTGTCTGTTTTCCTGGGCTCACCTATTTTAAAGATCCCGTTACAATACCCCAACACCTGGGTTTGTCACAATACACAAATTCCCTGCATTTTCAGAAACTTTAATTATTTTGATGGTACAGATTTTAAGATTGTGAGCTGTACATAGTCTCTTGTTCTAAACTGTTAAATTTTTAGGCCTAATTAGAACAGTGGAGCCATTGTATGCAGCTACTGTGTGAGAAGAAACAGTGTTTGAAGTTGGGGGGGGGGAGGCAACAATATTTTTATTGTTGTTGATCTTTGGATTTACTGATCCACCTCAGAAGATCTTCAGTTCTTGAGTCACCAACCGCAGATACTTTCTATTTTGGATACTATTTGTGCCCATTCAGGCTGCATAATGACTCACAACTCCATAAAGTGGACCCTAACAGAACAATCTCTCAGAGCACCCTTTAAGCTGCTAATAAAGTGTCTGTGTTTTAAACTGAATAACAGCTATTTTTACAGACTAATGTTACAGACTTCTCCATGTACAGAATTCTTATTTTGCAATTTCTCCTCTGTCACAATAGTGGCTATTGGAATGATTGAAAACCCCAACCTTGATTTCTTGTAAACCTTTTGTGTCGTTTTTATTTGCTTTCTTGTCTTTTGTGGATACAATACTTGATTTTTCTGCTGCAGGACTGGAGCCTGTTCAAGTTCTGAAATTGGAAAGGGAAACTCATCATTTTTTTACATATGTTATGGTTTATTACAAAACAGCAGCTCTTTTACTGACAGCTTCTTTAACTCCTTGTGGTGACTTATCAAAATGGAAAGTTTTGATAACTGTGACATCCTGGTGTGCATGGAATTCACCACTTGCTCTTTGTACAAATGTGTGCTTAGTGCGATAAGTGCTTAGTGTGAAGTGGGGTATCTGCCTCCAATAGACAGAAAGATGAACCAGTGTTACCTTAATTCTTCCCTTTTTTAAAAATATTTTTTGTTTTTTGTGCTCAACACAGTAATAAAAAAACAAAACAAAATAAACACCTTTGCCCTAACCTCTTCACTCCCACCTCCACCTTTAATGGCAACCCACAATTAAAGAGAGAAAAAAATCTTAATCAAAAACCAGTGGCAGATACAATTTGTCTCTATAAGCCAAAGAATATATAAACGTATAAATAATAACTAAAACAATGATTTAATGAAAATAATTGTTTTACAATTGTATGCCTGAGCTTCCCAATTCTAGTCTGTGCAGGTGTCCTTGAGTACCCTAGAGAATACAGGATAATTAACATGCATACTGCGGCCTCCTACCATTTGTTAGTCGTATTTTATTACAGTGTCAAAGTAAAATATCATTTTAAAACATTCTGTAACATTCTGTGGATATTTGCTTTGTGTCTATAATGTTTCTCTGTGATTTATTTTATCCTTTAATTCAGTATGTTAAATTATTTTAATAGGTAATTTTTGACAGCTGTTTAACTTTGTGATAAAAAATGTATCACACAACATAATCTTAGGCTGCTCTTATGAGCCTGACAGTGATACGTACTACAGTTTGCAGTTAAGTTTAATAATGTGAGGTAAACTGCTGTGTATTTCCTCTTAATAACTGAAAGAAAGCAGGTCTTCTGTGGTTCATTGCACACCTTTCATTCACACTGGAGTATTTTTAGTAGTTTGAATGAATCCTAGCAGTATCTGGCAAACGGGTTGATTCTTTTATAGCAATAAAATGCTGTTAGAAATTGGTGAGTAACTGTTATGTTGCGGCACGTGGATGTTCATAGTTGCATCTGTTGGACAGGCTGAGGAATCCCTGTGCTTGGTTCCAGTGAAGGCACTAGGAGACACTAGAGCTGAGGGAAATAGCTGAACTAGATAAGGATGTGCACTAAGCAGTCGGGGTGATTGGAGACTGAAGGCTTGGTGCAGCTAAAAGGGCAGAGCAAGACAAGAAAGCTCTGCTGTTAAGCAAGGCTGAAAGGCAAGGGTTTGGTACACTGCCGCTGGTCTGGTGCAAAGCCATGCTGAAATGGTGATGGACGACAGAGAGTCGGCTGGCAGAGTTGTTGGAAAACTGGACAGATACTTGGGCAGAGTTCAGGCAAGTTTTCCTTCTCTGAAGCGGGATGGTTGTGCTGGAACCACTTCCCTAGATGAAGGAATCTCAGTTAAATCAGGGTTTAAATATCCTACCAAATAGGTTGATTACCTGTTAAGTCAAACAAACAAACACTTTTAATGAGCTTCCATATCTTTCACTTGCTACAGTGAGAATACAGTTATCGGTTACCAACCATTTAATGGAAATATTATGTAGTAAAAAAAAAGAATGATTTTTTAATTGCTTTTTAGGGCATATAAATTGCAATAGCATTCATAAATGGCAGGTGGCTGGGACAGCTGCCCTAAACAAGCTCTCTTGACACCAGGAGATGTTTGCACCCAGTTTCTGTGGAGACCGAAGGCTGTGAGCTCCTGCTCATCTGGGTGAAACAGTAACAGCACACGGCTGGCAATTGATAACTGTATGCTCGCTGTAGCTAGTAAGAGGTATGGAAGCTCATTAAATGTGCTGGTTGGTTGTTGAGCTGTTCAAAGAGTATTTTTCAGGCACTGAAATCATATTAATTAATTCTCTTTGCAAATACGCAAACAGAGAAAAGATTACAACAGGACAAAAACAGTGCAAAAGTAGTTTGGGGAACAGTGCAAAAATACGGTTATTAATAAATATTACAACTAGTACAGTTTTAAGTGTAATTTCAGCTTACATTCAGTTGTCGTGTACAGTATGTAGCGGTGTTGGAGTACAGTCATTGTGGGTACAGGAAGATGTGAGCAGAGATCATAGTATGATGGAAGGGTGTGGGGCTGCTGTTGCTGTCATGGTAACCAAGTAAGCTTTATACAGGATTTTAATTTTTTTTTTGTTTTCTGTAGCAAGGTTATGACGATTATTGAGACTGAATAAAGGAAAATATCTTTACACAAATCATTCTAGTGTCTTGAACTAATTACCCAGTCATGTTATTGAAAGATATCCCTAAAGATCCTTTACAAACCAAAAGATCAAGATAAGCCAAGTAGCCTCATCATTTTTTTTTACCTTTTCTTATATTATGTGTAGGAACAATACTAATTTATACCTTAGTTTAATTGTACGTGTTTGTATCTGAGCATTTTAAGATGATGACACTGAATTCTAGGTTCTTCTGAAGAATTTTGGGCAACATGACTTTAGTTAGGCTCATTTTGCACTGTGAGGAGTCTGTGGGACTGTTTAGTCTTTGATTTTCCATGTATTGTACAGGTCCAACACATTGTGTTCCAACCTGTGTGTGATTATCTAACATGCATGGGTTTTCCACTTTTCTAGTTGCTTTGTTTGACAATCCATGTTAACAACTTCGAAAGCTGAGCTCACTTTTGTCACTTTTGTCCACTTTCTGCCACTGCCATCACACATCTGACACTTGTCTTCTGGGGTCTTGTTTCCCAGGGCCTAAGGAACAAGCCAAAGAAGACCGGTCATGTGAAACCTGATCTGATAGATGTTGACCTTGTGAGAGGTAAGTTGGGAATACAGCCAGCTGGGGGTTTGTCTTCCCCTCTTCCCCTTTAAATCGGTGCATTCTAAACTTTGTGTTGCGGGATGCTGATGGGTCGTGGAATCAGGAAGGATCATGTTTTACAGTCTGGATTTTAAGTGGTTATGTTCACTCAAACAAGCATTTCGCATTGAAAATTCTGCTCAAAGAACATGTACTGTGGAATAAAGTCTCAGGTGTTTCATTGAATCAGAAGGAATCATGTTAATTAAATTGAGGATTTGGAGCTTTGTGTAGCTTCTTCCAGCATTGAACCAAATATTAAATATGTTTGCTGAAAGAATCATTTCAGATTTTACATTTCAAAATTCCAATGAATGAAGTGAAATATTTCTCATTAACATTGTAGTCTATGTTTCAGTTTGTCATTAATGTTATTTCTTGCAAAATTAGGACTGATTATTTAAAAATTATCGATTGTACATCAAAAACGTTTAAAAAAAGAATTGAAGCCATTTCTGAAAGTCTGACTCCAGAAGTAGACTACTAAGAAAAGTAATGGAATAATCTCAAATATAGTTACATAATTAAATGGTTTTCCTAAAAGAATGCAAAGAAATGTATCTTCTTACTTTATGTCCTGTCCATAGCCAAGATGTACAGTCTATGTTCCAAATGGTCAGTATTTGTCCAATATATATACAGTACTTACGATTATATTTACAGAATTGTATTTTACAGTGAGCTGAACAGAATAATTGTATATGAATATATATATATAATACACTATATAAGATAATAATTAGGGCTACTACAACAACATCACAGGTTTATTATTTTTTCAGTTACCAGCTGGTGTATTAATAAATGGTGTTTCAGTCATTAGTAGCTGGTATTCCCTGCTTTCTTCTTCAGTTGTGGGATTACTTTTGCAACAGAATTTTTGGAGGAAGCTCACATTGATTGTCAATAGGTATGTACAATATACAGTACTTCCAAACACATATAATAATATTTTGGATACTAGAAATATCATGATGTCATGTGACTTGTGTGCCATTTGTTGACAAGATCATCTATGAATCATTTCAGTGCTTTTCTTCTCTCTCAGCTGTCCGAGAACTCACTCACTAGTCTTTTACATACATTAATGACACTCAATTTGCTTATCCTTTTTCATACTGCCTTTTAACACAAAAATGAAAATGTGAAAAAAATAATTTGCATAACAATTGTCAACAACAGAAAGGAGCGTTTCAACTGAAAGTTGGGTGATTTTGTTCAATACAGTACTGTACTCTGTTAGACTGCATTATACAGTATGTTTGAATTATGCGCCACTGTATCCAAAATAAAAAAAAAAACAACTTGACACCACAGTGTATAATCACTGGAATTAATACATATAGTTTTGCTGTAAAAAAATGTTAAGTAAATCGATTTGGCCCAATTGTTTACAAAACTTCAGATCTTTTCTTTTCCTGAACAGATTGAGAAATGATTTTATTCATATTGTCCTGATTACAAAACTCTGAAGTATGTTGATACTGTAAAGTTAAAGGCTTTCAATGAGAAAAGTAAATACTTTAAATAAAACAAGACAAGTAGGCAGTCATTATAATTAATGTGACAATTTAGTGATAGATGGGTGAAGCCTTAAATAGCATCTTGTCCATTTGTTGAGCTCTGCAGTTTCATTCTTTGATTTATTCCACTGTCTGTGGAGATGCAGATTTCCTTCTACTCTTTCAGGCCCCAGGCAAGCAAAGCATCTTGTAAACCTTGTGTGATTATTTCAGCCGTATGGAGTTCGGGGAAGTAAGATGTGTGCAGGCATCTGCGGCATAGATTCCCATCAGAATTCATGTAGTGTACTGCAAGGTCTGCAAATCACAGTAATTTCAATATCAGTTGCTTTTGTTGTCAAAACAAATCCCAGCTCCTAAAGATGACCATCATCTTTCCCTCTACATTAGATGCAGTTAAAGCCTTTTTGTTGTACTTCTTCCAGCTTTTGCTGGTCACAGCCATTGTTAAAACGAAAAAGAAACTGAGTGCAGTGGTAAGAAAAAAGTTTTTGAACCCTTTGGAATTATCTGTATTCCTGCAGTAATTGCTCCTTAAATGTGATCTGATCTTCGTCTCTGTCATAATAAGAGAAAAACACAATCTGAATAGCAAATAACCCACAAACAATTGTACGTTTACATATCTAAATTGAGCACATTGTTTAAATGTTCACTGTCTATGCTGGAAAAAGTTTAGGACCTCCAGGATGATGACATCTAATAATGAAATCTTATCTAAAGTCAGGAGTACTAATTAGATTAAATTGAGGTGTGTCAGTGTTTTCTCACAATTGTATGTTTGTGAGATATGAAGATTGTAGTTGAATGAACCTGTTGATAAAATGTTTAATATGTAATTCAATACGTAATATGTAAATTATTGATTTTTCAACTGAAAATTATTGAAATAGTACCACTCTAAAACTGTCTATAATGACCCAATTTCAATCAGGTAGAGATGGGAGACTGGTTATATTTAGGAGCTTGACTGCCAGTGAATACCAGTATGCTCAGATAGACAAAGAAGCCCTAGCTTTGACCTGGGCCTGCAAAAGGCGACTGCATGTTTACTGGAAGTGGATTTCTTCATCAAGATGGACCACAAATCTTTGATCATCTTGTTTAGTTTAAGACCATTCAATGGTTTACCACCAAGAATTCTGACTGATTGCTTAGATTCTATTGCAATATTACATGGGCCAGGGAGTGCCAGAATATCTCCTCCTATACTGGCCAGACCAGACAGATATACCATAAAGCAGATGATTTTCTAATGAAGGAAGAAAGAATTGTAATTCCTGAATGTTTCAGACAAGAGATGCTGACAAAACTTAATGAGGGGCATCAGGAAATAAATAATTGCTTGGCAAGAGCAGAATCCTTCTGGTGGCCAGGCACGACTCGTCAGGTATCTAGAGGAAAGATGCAAGTCAGCCTTCAACCGCTAATGACGGTGGCCACAAGTTGCACTGCTACCTTTCACTAGAGAAATGCAAGTTACCTTGCAGTGATGGATTACTACCCCAGATCCTTTGGAAGTACAAAACTGCTAATCATCACAGAGACACTTAAGAAGTATAAAAGGATCTTTTGCAAATTTGGTTTGACACCAGAGACACTGATCACAGACGGTCTGAGTTTGCTTGCTTTGCTGCAGATTGCAAACCCTATGAGCAATGGAGAGGTAGGAAGAGCTATAACAACTGTGAAAACTGTGAAACTGCTTTTGCTGAAGAACACGATCCTCCCAAAGCTCTAGTGGGGAGTAGAGCCAGCGCCTTTGTCCAAGGCCTTTGGCCCAGCACAGCTTCTGCTGAAGCAGAACATCAGAAAACTGATACTGGTTTCATCATGGCAGCTCAAGCCAAGATGGCCAAGCCTCAGATCTTTCAGACAGAAGGAATAAAGCCTAAAGGACATGCAAAAACAATGGTACCTCGCATGATGATGAATGCAAGAAGTACTAAATCTTGATCCCGGACAGAAAGCTTGGATCCAAAATGCACTGTGAGCACTCAAGGGTCCTGTACAGTGGACACTGATCAGGGAGGCTACTGAACATCAGGAGTCTCAGTGACAAGATCTGGGCAAATGTCCAGACCACCTAATTGACAACATCTGTGACAGGATGTAAGTAATTGTGAATAGTTAAGAAGAGCAGCTGTTGAGAATGGAACAGGATAATCATCTCAGTCAACTCTTCGGGCACAGACGGTCTTTCCTGACCTATAGATCTTGAGCTTCATATAATCTACTTTATGAGAATGTAACCTGTTAGAGGAGGTATGCATTAAGCAGAGGTCTTTTAAGTTGAAAGGAGGGATGTACAGTACTTGGATACTAAAAAGGTGTTGATAGCATTCGTGATGTACTGTAAGAAGATTCATGTGAAGAAGCTGGAAATAATGGGTTATAAGAGTGTAATAAAGAGGGGTCACTGTTACCTTACAGGGGCTAAGCACAGTCTGTGTGCAAACCATTTTTTTCTCCAATGCTTGTCTTTTTAAACACGATTAAGCAGGTTGCTTTTTAGTACTGCAAACTCTAATGGTGAAACATAAAGAGTGCTTTAAATAGTTCTTTGACGTGTTTTTTTCTTTGCTATTTGTTCTTCTGTATTTCTACCAAAAAAATACCAAGCATGTCAATTGCAATCAGTTCTTTGTTTAAATCCTGCTCTGTATTGGTTTCTGAGCTGTGCAGGTGTGTAATTGTTTTCTGCATTTGACTTTACAGTCTTTGGATTTCTTTCAATTTTCTGCAGGTTCAGCATTTGCTAAAGCGAAACCAGAAAGCCCTTGGACATCCCTGACGAGGAAGGGCATAGTGAGAGTGGTGTTCTTCCCGTTCTTCTTCAGATGGTGGATCCAAGTCACCTCAAAAGCAATCTTTCTTTTGTTGCTTTTTCTATACCTCCTGCAAGGTTAGTCACTGATGTGCTTGAGAGCAGATACAGGTGATTATTTTCAAAATGTGGTAATAGCATTACCTATAAAATTTAATATATATTACCATAAAGCTTATCTATGTCTGATCAGAGTTTTAATTATGCACAAAAATGCCTTTTGGATTGGTGGCATTTTTAAGTCAGTATTATTGTTGGAAAACAGGCTTCATTATTTTTTTTGGACCATTGAAAGAGGTCGGAAGATTCTGAAAATAATTATTAGGCCCAAATAATTATTTTGCTAAAGGATTCTTTTTTATTGTTATCACTTTCAAATGCTACTCCTGTGTGTTTTCCCCAAGCATTTATATACCAGAATTTACTTATACTGCCCCCTGCCTTGCCATACAAAAAATGCACGTACATTACTATCAGAGTCTGTATTAATTAGTGTGTAACATAGACCATACCTTCCACATTAATTTGTACCCCATATGAAATGGGGAGAAAAAACAACATACTGTATAACAGAAAGATCTGCAGACTAAATATATAAATTCTAAAAATGTACTAAGTAGTAGCAAACTCATATTTTCCATAAATATTTTAAGTCCAATATTTGCTAAACCTTTGCTTATTGCCTGTGTGTAGTGGGGCTTGGTGCCTGTCTGGGAAGTTGTTTTAAGTGACAGGTTTTCCCACTGTGTGCTCTATTTATAGGAACATGATTATTGTGACTCAGAAGCTATAAGATGCCAGAGCAGTTACAGTAGAATGTAGCACACTTCCTTGTCTTTTACCTAAAGTCTGAAGCTGTCTGGTAATAACATCTTATGGACATATTTGTGTGGTTCTTTGTGTCACTCTTAGAGTCTTTCTTTTTTCCTATGTTTTTCACATGTCCTTATACATTATTGAGTGTGTAACTTGTCATTTTTGCCTTGCCCACAAAGCTGGATTGCTGCAATTTCTTTTCCATTATGTTTTCAATTGTCACTGCAATTCCCTACAGTATCAACTGGAAACTGGCAACCAATAGACTGGCTGTACTTTTGTGTTAAATGTATCAGGTACCTGCAGGTAGTTGGTCTGTTACTGATGGGGCTGTTCCACAACTCTGGGTTTTTTTGATTCACAGGTCTACTGCTTGGGGGCACGAGTGACCTTTTTGGAATGTTGCAAATAGCAGAACAGCTGTTTTTTTTATCTGTGTGCTGTCTCATTGAAGACTAGGCACAGTAGTGTCTTCTGGACCTTAATCTTTTTATGTATATGTTCTTATAAAAGAATGCTTTTCTTTTATATAATTTACAGTTTTAAGAAGAAAATAAATAATGAGCAGCACAAGATCCTCAAAGTACCATGGGGCATTATATAGATATATGGTTTAGGACTTTGTGCAGACTGGTCCTTCTGTTATTTTCTACCTTTCAATGGAAAAATTGAGTTTCCCACTGAATTAATGAAGTATGAATGATGTATTTATGAATCAGTCTTGGCAACAGAAGCTGTTTAAAAGAGATTATGTGGCACATTTACTGCATTTTTGTGGTACACAGACATCATGAAATCACTAGAAAAACAGCCCTGGTTGCCTAGATAGCATTCTGAAATACAGCCTTATAGGGAGTGGAAATGGTATTCTCTACTTTGGTTGTAGGGAGGTTGAGAGTTGGAAATAGAACATCTCATTTTGCTTCTCTGGGGCTGATTTTTGCTTAGGATCATTTTTCAAATATTTCACTGACTGCCAGTGGCTGATGCCAGTGTTTGTCTTTACATTCAATCCATAGTATCATTAAAAACATGTGCGACCCTCTTTAAATTCTACAGACCATGCAAATCATTCTTTTGAACCTATGGTTCTTGCTTATTCGTGACTGCTTGCTTAGCTTTTAAAGGACATTGACACCAAAGAAGACAAACAAGCTATTGGCAACTACGCCTAAATATTTTGTTCTGTTACACTTTCAGTCTGTTTGTTATAGTTTTACGTGCATGCCTTAAATAAATAACTTTTATATACTGTATAACACAAGGCCTGTACTGGGGGACATAGTCTCAGTCAGTCTGCTCTTATCTTTCAGTTGCAGCGGCAGTGTTATTTTTCACCATTCCCCAGACGCACAGCATTCCTGTCACAGAGGTGTTTGGGGCAATATGGCTAATGCTGCTACTGGGAACTGTTCATTGTCAGATTGTGTCCACAAGGACACCAAAACCCACCCCCAGCAGTGGGGGAAAGAGACGAAGGTGGGTTATGTTTTGTGCTTGTCCTTTTTAATATACCAGGGCTCACAAAATACACTTTTTTAAGCTGTGGGTCTTAATGTTCAAAAAAGCTCTTGAATTCAATTAAAAAAAGATGTACTGTAAGTCTAACATGTGGTAATAGCCATCTGCTCCATATGGTTCTCTAGCCCTGGTGGTTAAATGCAGTGCACCTTATGGTATATAAAATAATCTGGAGGTTAAAGGTGCATTGTGTGAATACTCCCAGTGTACAACACAGAACCCTGCAGGTGAGTCTGCATGCTTATTATAAATTGCAGTACCAAAACTTCATTCTTAGTGGTATGTAAAGGAATGATAAGCTACTTGAAGCCCAGCAACTGATCCTAATACCTGTGAACAATTTTCTGAAAGCAGTAAGAAAATTGGCCGTTTCATGCAGCCAGGAGGTGCTGCTGCTTTTGATCAATTAATTGCAGACACATCTGAAGTTGATGGAAAATCCACAAGGGAGATTTTCTGGGATGTGTCCCAAACTTTAGATACCTTGATCTTTTCTGTCAACATTCAGGAGGACTTCATTTTTTGTTTCTTTTAACTGAACTATGTCAGGATGCCTTACTGTATTACTGTGTACCTTTCATACTTCCTCCATTTCTATTTCTTTCTTATGGCTAAGCAGCTTCACTGTGTGGTGGATCTGGTCAGAAATGCAGTTCGTGTTATTTTAAGAGAACCAGAAAATACCTATACATTAAACAGCATCAGCGTTTTATACACTGAAAATGGCAGAGTTGTAATTTCAGTAATTAGACATAGTGTTCCTTTTCAGATATTAATTGAAGACTTAGGGCCAGACATTGTTAAGAAAGGTAAATTGCGATGCATATTTATGCCACAATTTGTGGTTGTCTTGCAACATTGCATTCTGTGTACTGAAAGAAAATGTTAATAATAAGGACCTGTTGCAACACTTAAGTGAGCGTGACTTTGTGACAGAAGTAGGTGACCGGTGATTACCTTCATGTCTATATCTCAGTGCAATACCTCAGCCAGTTGAGCTTAAACAAAGGTGTTCAGGAGCGAAGTCTCAGTCTCTAAAACAGGACTAAAACACTGCGCTGGTGCTGAGTATCTTTTTCGGTTGGAAGTTCCACATTTTTCTTCTCTTAGCTTGTTTAAAGGTGTTCTCCAAAGTAGAAGTGACAGAACTTGACCTGGAATGCTTGACTGTGATGTTCGTAATCATGGAGTAGGAATAGCATGCCACCTGCATGTTTGTAAGACAAGTGTTTTTCTGATGTGTATACAAACACACAGAATGAATAGAATAGAGGTTTTGGCAGCCCCTGTACGGTTTATTTCTCTCAATATGTTGGAGAAACCATGAATGCCACTAGTTTCAAAGTTTTGTAGGTTGAACCTGCTTTTAAGGAAATAAGCAATTGGTCTCAATCAAGCATTAGACAGAACTAGTAACTGAGAATATGTAGCCAGCGACTGCTGCCATAATCCCCTGTACCCTGAAAAGAGTTAGAGGCAGGATCATGCTGGGTGAATGGTAGTGTGTTGTAGGGACACCGGTAGAGACAATGGGACAATGTTAAGGACACTGGTAGAGAGACAATGGGACGATGGTAGGGACACTGGTAGAGAGACAATGGGATGATGGTAGCGACACTGGTAGAGAGACAGTGGGACGATGGTAAGGACACTGGTAGAGAGACAGTGGGACGATGGTAAGGACACTGGTAGAGAAACAATGGGACAATGGTAGGGACACTGGTAGAGAGACAATGGGATGATGATGGTAGGGACAATGGGACGATGGTAGAGCTGGCCTGGCTTCTTTGGCCTGGAGCATCTAATATCTGTTCTTTATTCACTTTATTTAAAGATTTGCTGGCTGTGACAGATTAAGCCTGCTGTCCATAAAAAATTGGAGTCATTCTTAGAGTCACGACTGCCGGTAACTTTAGTGCATCATGTTTTAATATTTAATCAACTCGTTTGTACTAATTCCATTCCATTTTGGCAGATCTTTAAATGAATTAGTAATTCATCAAGAGCTTAGCTGCAAAGATGGATTACACCTGCAAAGTAGTAATTCTTAAGACCTCACAAATATCATTGTGATTGTTCAGTGTGGCTCATAAATTAGGTGCTTTGGTACATCTGGCCCTTAACAATTAATTAACATCTGGCCAATTAATAATTGTGGTGTAGAAGTAATGCAGATGTTTTTAAAAGATTTGTTCACATGTGCAGATACATATTTCATATTGTCTCATCAAGCCTCAGGCAACACAACAATCCATCGGTATATTGTATCACTTTATTGCTGTCAATAGACTTTTTTTCTTGGAAAGATGATACGCCAAAATAATTTTGTCTTAGCACTGAGTTTAATATACCATAAACTTTAAAAGAGACATACTGTTTGTGATTGAGCCAAAGGAAATATTATTTTGGAACAGTCTGGCAGTGATAAATGAAGTTCACCATTTGATCTCTCAATTGGATAAGTGTTTTTAAGGCTAGAATAACACTTAACAACCAGTTGAGAGATTAAATGGTGAACTTCATTTATCACTAGGAAATAATATTTATTTTTTTAATAAGGGAATTTTGCTTGCTCCACACTAGGTGGATACATAGTTAAAGAATGCATAAATTAGTGTAATTAAATATATTTTAATTATTCTTTTCATAAAATGTCATACAATTTAAAGCCTCAGGCATTCAAATAATATTCCACGTTGCACTATTATTTTAACTGTGGAACATCTTTTCGACAAAAAGGGATAGTACCTGCAGGACGGCTTTCACTGAACACATTTCTGAGCAGATCCTTCCATTTTCACGTAAGCTGCCTTAGAATAAGCTTTTTCTCATAATTTTTTTCCTTAAAAAATATGAAAAAGGCTGCAGGTAATATATATCTGTTGAGTTGTTTCTTTCTGAGCAACCCTCCACTTTTAATCTTTCTCACTAAAGGAAGTTAAGGAAAGCAGCACACTTGGAGGTGCATAGGGAAGGAGATGGCTCTAGCACTACAGATAACACACAGGAGGGGGCGCTGCACTGCTCCGGTTCTGCCACCACTTACAGCCTTGGCGTTTTCTTCAGAGATTTCTGGCATGATTTCTTTAAACCAGGGTGTGTATTTTTCCTTTAAGGTTACGTGTTGTCCATGTAAGCTGCAATATCTCTTCTCACAAAAAAAAAAACAAGACGGGAAAAAGTAAAACAATGAAGGATGTCTTCGGAGTGAATATTTATGAACTCAGAATGTGAGTTTGCTCTGCACCACTGAAATGATCCGTGTTAGGAACGAGTCATTTTACATCTGATGGCCTCTATGTTTTTTTTTTATTTTAAAGAGGGTATTTTAGTTTTCAGAATGTTTCTGGAGTCTACAGAGATGTTTTGTGCAGATTAAGGGACAAAATAATTTTGTGACTTTGTAAATAACAAAATCATTTGGACAAGTGATGAACAGAGTATTTCTGCTCGTTGGGAAGGCTCGAGATCTGGCACCACCAGATGAGTCTATATAGCCGAGGCACCACTTATTGTTTGCAAATTTTGTTCTCCTTAGTATGAGAGCTATTGACGAGTGTGATTCACCTGGGACTCGTCGAAAAAGGGATATTGCAGCTTTCTCGTCACAGCGTAAAACAGTTTCTAAATGTTAGTAAGCTGAGGAAACCAGTTAGGCAGTGCTCTCAAAGGTTTGGTGCTTGTTTTCCGGTCCACTAGTCTTATGTTTATTAAAGTGAAGAATCTAGTCATTTGAAGCTGTGAAGCTGTGTGAAATATTAACCACAGTGCCTGAAAAGAAGGGAGAAAGAAGGAAACAAAAAATGTGGCCAAACCACAAATCACATTTAGGGTTTTAAAGGGCTTCTAAATTGAATTAAGATGGTGATGGAGCATAATGCATGACATCCTACCAAAACAAAGAAGTGTATTCCTCTTCTCTCTGTCTATTGAGATGAAGGTTTTGAATTGCTTTTAATTTTCCTTGAGAAAAAGAATATGTGCTTGTTGATAAAATATGCCTAAAAGCTTTTAGAGCACTGCCTTTGTTGTCTGTTTGGGTGGGCTTGTTTTGATGCATCGCACTGTGATTGATGTCTCATAACGCCGTTTCTGCCCACCAACAAAAAAAAAAATCTCCAGTGACAAAGCTATACGCTGTTGTACTACTGTTAGAGTAGTTTCTTATTACTTAATTACTATTGTTGTCTTTATAGGTATTTCTTCATGTACACATTCATGTCTCCACTGATATATTACTGCATAACAGAAATGCATACTGCATTTACAGAATCTGCTGATCTTCCAAAAATTCAATATTAAGTTTAGTTTTATACAAGTACTCCTAACATTTCTGTAAAATGCGTAATGTACTCCTAACATTTCTGTAAAATGTTGTACACTTTAGGCTTTCCTCCTAACTAATTTTATCTTGAAAGCATTCTGTGTTTTAAAATAATGTGTGTTACGACTCATCCCACCCCTTGTAAAGTGTAAGCTTTCTTAGTTCACTCCTGTTTTATGATTAGAAGCAGGTCATGTTTCTGCAGTATCATCATCATCATCCTTCCAAAGCAAGTTATACTTACATTCAATTGAGGGTAGAGTTTAAAAAACAAAAACAAATTGAAAGTGCTCATAAATACACAGTTCATCAAAATCTGGGTCCATTATTACTATGACCTTTCCCTTATGGGTGTCCTATTTTGATTCTTGTTGAGGATCAAAGGAAAAGGAGTTTCACGTTCTGTGATTGGCACCCTGTTCACATTTGTCAGCTTCACTGAATCAATGTTACATTACAATACAGTACATTTGGCATTCACACTTTGAAGTGTTAAAAGGCACTGGAAAAGCTCTCTTTCCAGGTGGGACTGGAATCTTTCCAGCTGTCTGCTGGCACCATGTCTGACTTCCATCAGTCCCTGGCCGAGCCGAAACAGAACCCACAAAATGATCTCGTGTTACAAAATGCTTATGTGTGTTCTGTTACATTAAACCACTTAACTAAGACATTTTCCTATGCACAGAACAGATGTATTGAATTGTGCTGCCAAAAATGATCTGAAATAAAGCAGTGTTTTCCCCTTTAAAAAAGAACAAAAATTTGTGTTTAACGATAGAATGCAAACCAAGGTCAAGAGATATGAGAAATCATTTAATGATGTTAACTGTGTTTTTGTATTTAACTTTATTTAATGGAATTTGTATTGTCCTTTAGTCATTAACCCTTTAGTCATCACCCGTGGCTATTTATTCGGTCTTAAAGTGTCCTTGTGTCTTAAACTGTACATACTGTATGTACTACACTTCTGTACCTACAGTACTTCGCAAATTCGAAGTTTGAGAAAACAGAAATGGCAGACCCCTCTGAGTGATGAGCAAATGCCCCCTTTACATACACTCTGTGCTCTGCCTTCAGATCGAAGAAGTCCAAGATGTCCATTGACAAGTCAACGGAGACGGACAACGGCTACGTCTCTCTGGACGGGCGGGTGACCAGTAAGAGCAGCGAGGAGGGGCTGCAGCTACAGGGGCCGCACTGCGATCTGCTGCAGGCGGAGGACTGCTGCTGGAGCACCGCTCAGGCCCGGCAGGAGCAGCCCCAGCCGGCTCACAATAAGGTGGGCTCTGTGCGGGACCGTCTCAAAGTGGGGGTGAAGCCCCCCCCCCAATTCCCAATTCCACTTCACACATATAAATACATGTTTAAATATTTTAATAAAGTGACACACAGAACTCTTATTTTAACTCAAGATGAAATCTAAAGTTAGTGGGAGACGCTTTATTCAGAACTGGAGGCATGTCCCGCACTATCTATGTCATGGGTCATCAGTTGCAAGCTAAAAGTTATTGCGGCATAAAAGAATGTTAGCCGGTGGAAAATGGTGAGCACAAGCAGAGATAGGGAAAAAATTTAGAAAACACCACAGTGGGTGCAAGAAAAGAAAAAGGAAGCAGAAGAAGAAGGATGCAAATGTGGTACTTAATGGATTTTTTTAAGGGTTTGTTGTAAAAACCAGGAGCAAAGAAGAAACGGATATGGGTGGTGATCTCGATGACGACAAGGATGCTAGGATTAAGACTCCTGAAGGTATCAATAGCATTAGGAACAACGGCGATGAGTAGTTATGTTCGCAGGCCAGTTAGGTAGCTATTTCATCACCTCAACGCTGCTCCCTGCTGCCACCACTACACACAAGAACCCCCCCACCCTGGGCCCTGTGACACCAATCCCGCCTTGGGCTCGGCCCCCCCCTGAGACGGCCCTGGCTTTGTGTTTCACAGGCAGGAAGGCTGCCCTCTGTACCGAGATCACTGATTCCTGATTGAGACAAAATACTTCACCTGCCCCTAAAGCCGGTAGACTTACATACCCATGGCACCGTCCTTTCATTTAATCATTTAATTCCACTCTTACTGTCAGTCAAATTGTACATTATTCAATTTACTTTTGTTTCAGTGTGATTTAGAGGGTGTTTTGAACTTCGGAATGGGCGTTCCCAAACTTCAGAAGAACGAGAATCCTGTAATTCATCTTTTTTTTTTTGTAATTTGTGCCAGTCACATCCATGTGACCGTTTTAAGTTTTCTGGGTTTCGTGCTCTGTGGAAGCCATAGCCATTGTTTCTGATCTGTATTGTCTCCAGTTATTACTCGTTTCGTCTTCAAAAAGCTGATGGCACAGTAACAAATAACATCCGTGCAGATTCGGGAAAGGAAGCACCATCTGTTGCCAAGAAGTAGAAAAGGGGTTGTGGACAGCGGTCCTGCTCTCCCCAATATAGTCACACATCAATAGGGTGGTGATGTGATGTGTGTGTCTAGGAGTCTCACGGCCCGCGGGTTCTGGAGAACGTGTCGGACGAAGTGTCCAGCGAGGAGGAGCCCGAGGGCAGCTATGGGCTGAACCGGCGAGGGATGGAGCGCATGTCCAGTGACTGCGCACTGCGCAACAGGAAATCACAACACTACAAGAAGCACTACACTGCTGAGGTACTGTATAACAGCTGTTCGACTGCTGCTTTGCTCATTGCACCTCGCCAAGAGCACATAGGCTGCTAAGGACTCCTGCAAGCGGTATAATCAATCTCCATAAATACATAAAGCAACAGTTACCTTGTTGGAAAAGGCCTACAAAAAGAAACATTTTTACGTTTAATTTTTTGTCCATGTTTTAACAGTTGTTGCAGATTTTAAATAAGGTCTGCTTGGAGATAGGAAAAAATACTTGGTTCCACAGTTACATTGCCCTTTAACAGTTGAAAACTTTACAATGAAGAGACATATTTCAACAAGAAACATATCCAGCAGACTACGTTCTCAAACACCTGCATTATATTTTCTTTTGGCCTGCTTCTAAAATAAAATTTCCTGAGCTTGGATGGTGCTCCCATTCAAATGAATGTACCTTTGTCTTAAGTGCTTAAATTAACACAAAACTGAATAATGTTTGAATATCAATTGAATAATTTATTGAATGCGTAAAGGTATATACTGTATCTCACTTCATATCTTGTACACCAGGATAATTAATAAATATTTTGTGGCATCTCTGACACTCATCAATGTAGAAATAACATTTACTACTGTCTGTCATTCCTTTTAATGAACTTCAGGTAGGAATAGTGGATCTTCAGTGTAAATGGGCTCACAAGATAAAAAAGAATACTGTCAACAAGACTCCAAAATCGAACTTTAAAATTATTTCTTGTTTTAAAATTTAAATAATCACATTTAGCTGCTCATATGCACAATTTTTGAGTTTTTGGACTTTAATAATAATAATAATAATAATAATAATAATAATAATAATAATAATAATTGCTTACACGTTTATAGGGCTTTTCTGGACATTCCACTCAGTGCTTTACAGGTAAAAGGGACTCCCTTCCACCACTACCAATGTGCAGCATCCACCTGGATGATGCGACGGCAGCCATAGTGCGCCAGAACGCTCACCACACATCAGCTATCAGTGGGGAGGAGAGCAGAGTAATGAAGCCAATTCATAGATGGGGATTATTAGGAGGCCATGATTGGTGAGGGCCAATGGGAAATTTGTCCAGGACGCCGGGGTTACACCCCTACTCTTTTCGAGAAACGCCCTGGGATTTTTAATGACCACAGAGAGTCAGGACCTCGGTTTTACGTGTCATCCGAAGGATGGCACCTGTTTACAGTATAGTGTCCCCGTCACTATACTGGGGCATTAGGACCCACATGGACATCAGCGTGAGCACCCCCTGCTGGCCCCACTAACACCTCTTCCAGCAGCAACCTTAGTTTTTTCCCAGGAGGTCTCCCATCCAGGTACTGACCAGGCTCTGAGCTTCAGTGGGCTGCCAGTTGTGAGTTGCAGGGTAATATGGCTGCTGGCTGTATATGCTTTATATGACTGATATGGCTTTTACTTATATATTTGAAGTAAAAGTCATAAAATATATATGTAGCGAATGGCAGTCCTAAGGAAACGGCCTGAATTTTGAAGGTTGTTTTAGTGATTTCTCTAAAAGTAAAGCTAACATTTTAATTAAGCTTATATATAAGGATCACAGATCCCCTTAAAGTGTCAGGTCTTAGCTAAAAAGGAAATACAGTAGTAAACTTACAAGAAAATGTTTACCTTTTCACTTCCATAATTTCTGATTTTGTTTTTACTTTCCATTTCATCAATTTATGAAATATTTTAAAGAAAGTTTTCAAACATTAAATTTAGGGAGGTTTGTAATAATTTACTTTTAAGGGGAAATGGATTTAAAACTGGTGACTGAGGGCATTTTTACAAAATGATGGGGGAATCTGGAACAAACTAGTTTTAAGAAATGATTGGATGTGATCTTTGGATCAACCATCAAGCAACAACAAAACGATTTAGGTGAGCAAAATCATCTCGTTTGCACCTTGTAATATCAGTCAAGTAATGTTTTTAAATGACTTAGCTGGAATGAAAAAGAAACAAAGGAATCATTTTTTTTACTGTGCCTTCCTGTGTTTTGTGCCAAAAAAGATTTATTCTGTTTCATTTTCTGGGAAGCATCTTGTTTATCCAGTGTAAAAGCGGAATCGGTAGAGTTTTGTTTTTTTTATAATTTGTTTATAAGCTTATTTACCCTGTTTCCAAAGAAACATGCTGGATGATACTGTTTTGTTTGTTCCACAATTTGTTTTCCTGGAATGCAGAGTTATGTTTTTGCAATGAAAATGCCTTTGGATCTTTCATCACATGTGACTTATGAATGCTGTCCTTGGCAAAGAAAAAATGTTGTAATGTTTAGGTTTTTTTTCCCACCAAGGCATTCACAGGCGTGAATAGGAGTTGCTGTTTTTGTAGGTATTCTTCCTGCCAATAGTTAATGCACTTAATTTTATTTCTTTTTTCCTTTATGTACTTGTTTTGTCTTTATTATATTCCTTGTGATTATAAGCATCATGAGGGGAAGGCATTCGGTACAACAGAAAAAGTGTTGTGCTTAAGCACAGAAAATATGACTTTTTTTTTGTGGGGCAGTGAATACATTATTTATCCACTAGAGGGCAACTAAATGAGACCTAGAATCTTTCTTTTTAGAATTCTTATCCCTATCCTTTTAGACTCATTTATTATTTTAAAATGTATAGGTGTTTTATAGTGCATTAGATACCTCCAAAAAACGTTAGGAGTTGACCTAATGTTGAGTTGTTGAAAATGACATAAGAGCGTACCTCTGAGTAGTTCCTTATTGAGTTATAGAATGGTTTCTTCATTAGCTTTTTGTCTAAATAGGTAGTTTTGGCTTTTGTCTTAAAAGAATTGGATTTTTAGAATTGGATACATATGTAATCAATAAATGCTCATCTAGAAGCTGAAGGCAGGACTGGGAAGTGGTTATCTCCTGTTGAGCGGCACAGTAAGCTACTATGCAGCTGCTCAGTGTTGTTCTCACTCTGAGAATGTGGATGCGAGCTGCTCATGGGGTCATTGATTGCTGTGGTTGCCGTTGACAACAGGAGGTGACCAAGTCGGGCACCAGCTGCAGCTCCCGCTGCTCCAGCTCCCGGCAGGACTCTGAGAGCACGCGGCACGAGTCCGAGACGGAAGACGTGCTGTGGGAGGACTTCCTGCACTGCGCGGAGTGCCGCTCCTCCTGCACCAGCGAGACAGAGGGGGAGAACCCTGCTGTCTGCACTGCCGCCAAGAAGGAGTACCGGGACGACCCCTTCCACCAGGTCACATCCCGAGACGCTGCACAGCGCCGCCTTCTAAATACTGTACTTTGAGCGTTATGGAGAGCTCCCAATGGTCTGTTGTTGAGCACACATCGAGCACTGTGGTCCAGACCTGGCCAGTCTGAGTCTGGGTGTAGTCGTTGGCCACTTGGAACCAGGGTTGCTCATATTCCAGTGATGTGTTTGGCTGAGAGTCAGCAGTGTGGATGGGCCGCTGGGCATGTCAGGGAAGACCTTCTAAATACTGTACTTTGAGCGTTATGGAGAGCTCCCAATGGTCTGTTGTTGAGCACACATCGAGCACTGTGGTCCAGACCTGGCCAGTCTGAGTCTGGGTGTAGTCGTTGGCCACTTGGAACCAGGGTTGCTCATATTCCAGTGATGTGATTGGCTGAGAGTCAGCAGTGTGGATGGGCCGCTGGGCATGTCAGGGAAGACTGTGCTCAGCCTGCTCAGCAATGACCATGTTGACGTCCTGGCAACCCGAGAGCTTGCAGTTATGACTGAAAGCCGCATCCCTCCCTTAGTGGGCACGAACTCTCCTACGGCACTGTGGGACCCGCAGTGTGAAAAGCACTGGGCGACTCTCACAGATGCGTATTTCAGAGGAAGGCATCCTCGGTCCTCATCGCCACTCTGCTGTTTCATGAGTCACAGTGGTGAACATTGTCAGTTCCAAATTGAGGGAGTCCTATAAAAAACAAGAAAATGCTAATTGGAAGTTGAAATACAGAGTTTATTTGACAACTGCGCTTCCAGTTCTGAGGAACACTGAACATCCAGGTTTTTGGTCCAGCCAGCATTCAGTCATTTTAAAATTACATTTTCAACAGCATTGCAAACAATAAAACACCTTTATTAATTTAGAAAATGTAGAGTTTCTGAGGGGCTCATGAATAAAACAACATACAGTAAATTGAATAGTGAATAATTAGATGCTGGTTGGATCTCCTAATGTTAATGTTTCCTACTTCATAAAGTGCTGGAGGTTAGTCTTTTCTTTACACAGTATTTTCAGGACCTCTGAAAATACTCAATAATGTAGTTGCTGACGAAAGGGGATCTGTAGTATCCAGATAGTTATTTATTACGTAATCCTTACTGTATGTATTGAAATCCTTTGAAATTTAATTTTCTTGGAAATCAGATTTCTATGATTATATGATTTATTTTTTAACTAGATTTCATTTTTTTTTTTGGTACAGACATTGTAATGAAGTATGTGAATTTGCTTCTTCAGAAAATCTAGAGCATGGGCCAGTAAAAGACAAATGATCTGATGTTAAAATGTTGCCTTTGATTTTATTACTTGAATCCTTATAGAAAGCTGCTGCTCTTTCTCTCCCTCCTCTGTTTTTGTACTTTACTTTTAACAAGTAAACATTTGCTTTCCAGGGTCACATACCATGGCTTCACAGCTCCAATCCAGGCCTGGAGAGAGTGAGCGCTATCGTGTGGGAGGGCAATGAGTGTAAGAAAGCTGACATGTCTGTGCTGGAGATCAGTGGTATGATCATGAACAGGGTGAGTAGGGAAGCTGTTGGCATGGAAACGGATTTCTCCAGCCGTGCATAATTTTTTAAATAACACAAAGTCTGTCATGCTTAAAATTTTGTATTCACAATGTACAAAAATGTTCATATTTTGACCAGAAAATAACCACTGCCACAAATTTCACACAGGGAGGGGGGTGTTATGAAATTATAAATTAAGAAGGTTATTAAATCAATAAAAAGAATCACGTCCTGACACCAGCTTGCTATGCAAGCATATTAGTAGTTTCAAATTTTCACCCCCTAAAGTCAGGGATTATGGAGTATTATAGGGCACATACTATTGTTAACATATGTTATTTTCTGGCACTGCTTGATAATGGAGTAATGACCAGACCCAAACTTAACAAGACAAACATTCATTAACAATAAATTGCGCAATGTTTACACTTTAAAACTGATATTTACAATTCTAGGGGGCTCCAGAGCCTAATTTTCTACAGACATTGAATACCCAGACGTCTCCCCCTATTCAAATTAACATTAAACACCTTACTGTACAAGGCACAGAGAAGAACCTGCATCCTGTTTAAATGGATCCTAACCAGGACTGAAACTCCCTCTCTAAATGGATGCACACAAAAGAATAGAAACCAAACATTTTTAGCATGAGGATTCGGCAAACTAGGAAATCAGAATTTCCTTAACAAAATAAGATCACTGTCTTGTTTCTTATAAGAGTCAGAGTCCAGTGGCTTCTAAGTCTGATGAAAAAGAAAGAAAAACTCTCTCACAGCACTATCTTAAGATATTGATGATGATTCCTTTTTTCTGACTGCTGTTGGCTTCCTGCTGTCTTTTTGTTCTGTTCTTTAACCTGCTTTGTCCTGTGACCCATCCCCCATTGAGGCTAGCATAATGACCTCACTGACAATGGTTCAGTCACTGTTGAATGTTCTAATATTAAAGGTTGACTTAATGATCTAACCATGATACAGTTTAACTTGAGTAATTTATTGGGAATGCTCTTTTGATCATCTGTATCTTGGTCAAGGCAGTTGTATAAATTCAGCAAGACTCTACCCATTATCTCAAACCTTCAGAATAAGGTAATTTAGCTGGGAAATGCATAGGTCACTGACCTTTCTGAACCAGCCACCTCCCCCAGCCTCTGTAGTAAATTAAATCTTGAATGGATAAAGGTGTCCTCAGCTGTGGCAGAGCTTTAGTCTGAAACAATTGCAATATACGAACTACTATAAAATTAATGGAAATTACAGAAAAAAACTGGTTAAGTATTTTTTTTGCATGTTTTTTGCTTGTATCAGCTTCAAGTGCTTATTTTGTTTAAAATGAAGAGTTTAGATCCAAAAAACACACTCCAGAAAGACTCCTGTGGCATTCTGATTTTTTTGCTTTGTATTTCTTTTTAAGGTTAACCTCTACACTCCAGGAATAGGCTACCAGATATTTGGGAACCTAGTGTCCACAATCCTGGGACTGACACCTTTTGCCTACAGACTTTCACAGTATAAAGACTTGGAGCAGCTCACTACACTCTCTGCTAATGAACTGATTACCATTGCCTTTGGCTCCAGCTCTGATGTCTTGGTCATCTCCATGGTAACGATCAGCTTTGTGGTCAGAGCCTGCCTCATCTGGCTCTTCTTCTTCTTGTTGAGTGTCGCAGAACGCACATATAAGCAGGTTAGTGAAGGTTGTGGCTGGCATTCCTGAGCCCTACGACTGGTTGTTCTTATACGTTATATGGTGTTTTCTAGTGATAAATGGTCTTTTTTGTTACTTTTTCCCATAGCAAACTAGTGCCTTGTCACCTGCAGAATGCTGTCAAAAAAGAGCCCGATGACTCATTAACTCCCAGTTTTTTTCAGAATGGGCGAACCCTGCCTGGACAGGGCTAAAGATTCCAAACTCCTCTGTTTGTCAATTTACAGTATAATCACCACAGGACCTCCCTCGAGTTGCAAAATGGCATGATGGAGCATTAATTTTAATTAAATATTAAATTATTAATTTAATATTATTAGTAAAGAAAGCGTAAATGCTTTTGGATATTTTTAATATTTTTAAAATTTTTAAGATTTCGCCTGAAACGTTGCAATTAAAACAATAACAGTAGCAGTTCCGTTAGTTTAATCTGTTTTTGCAGGACCTCATTGTGAAACCTGAGATGGGAATATAAAAGTGGAAGAAATTAACACATTGTAAATCTTGTAATTTAAAATGAACATGTATATAAATTCTCAGATAAAAGAAGAGACCTTTGAGGTGATTCTGAATTTTCGATAATGCGTATGTATGCCAGGAGAGGGCAGTGTAATCATAGGTGATGATTATAATTTACTTCATAACATTGAAGACAGTACATTATCTGAAGTATCATTGTGTGGTATCTTAGATACAGGATATCTTCTGACAACCCTGATCCGGATGTCAACAGTAGTTTTTTGGAAAAGGCTTTTTACACTGTTTTTTGTTACATTACTTATCTATGTTCAATACAAACTTATAACCAACAGATTTATCATTACAGTCAAATCTCATAACTTATGCAGGGTACAAGTAAAAGAGCTGTAAAGAAATGTAAATAAGATGACTGTATAAGTTAAATAACTAGCTCTCATAGGCATGCTTGACAGTTTTTTCAGATACATTTTTAATTTTTGTATTTTACGGAGTCAATTGGACAAGTTGAGAGTCAACTATTAGAATTTGTTTTACATTTGCAGTACAGTATTTCATTCCATTAAGTTTTAATCACTATAAAATATTTTAAATTTATTCATAATGTAATTTTTTAGAACCTAGTGCCTCTGTATGAAATGCCAATGTCTGTGTGTCTTAGACTGAGTAGGTGAATGGGAACCAACCTGTAATTTCCTGTTTTCATAGAGATTACTCTTTGCTAAACTCTTCGGCCATTTAACATCTGCAAGAAGAGCCAGGAAATCAGAGGTTCCTCATTTTCGTTTGAAGAAAGTACAGAACATCAAGATGTGGCTTTCTTTGCGTTCGTATCTTAAGGTAAGTTCCGTTCCTTATTTGGTCCAGCAGAATCTGCAAACGTACTATTCGGATTGACCAGTTTCAGATTCTGTGTTGCTTGCCTCCTACATTTCTACCAGAGTTCAACTGTTAAACTGGAAGAACTGTCAAAAATATATGGTTGTACAAAATAATTCGGGAAAACCTAGCTCATAATTGGTTTGCTCTGCATCACATGAATGCACTTTAGAAATAGGCCATAACATGGCTTCCATATGCATAAAGTGCATCACATTCTGAAAAAGACTCCAAGATCCAACATTCCAGTATAACCACATGGTACCCTGATCATGTCAGGCCTCTGGACCTAAGCAAGGCTGGGCCTGGTCAGTTCTGAGATGGGAGACTTCCAGCGGGAAAAAAGGTTGATGCTGTAGGAAGCAGTTACCAGTAGATACTGTAGCACTCCTCCCTTTGGATTACACTGTTCAAAAAGCCAAAGCCAAGTGTAGTGACCTATGACATTATACTAACGGCAGTGCCATCCTTCGCACATAGGTCATTGACATAACATCATCACTAAAAATTCCATTGCATCCTTTTCAGAAGCAGGAAAATTACCACTGGTGCCCTGGAAAAATTCCACTCTGGGCATTTTTAATCTGGCCTCCCTAATGTAGCCCCATAATTCAGTTGATAAACCACTTGTTTGTCACTTCTTCCCTTGATCAGCTGTGTCACAAAGTTGCTTGTGCATTAAGGCTGCTGCATGTCACCCAGCTGCACTTCTGTGGTGGACATAGTGGATTACCTCCTTTATGTTAAGTGCTTTTTTAAATCCTTTGGGATGAAAAACACTATACAATTCATCTGAGTTAATCTAACAGCTCAGAGTTTGTAGAAAGAGTAAAATGAGTGTCTGTTACAATTACTTAATTTTGTACAGGATCAACCCAAGTTACTTTTTAGAATTTGGTCAAAATGGAGGCTCTCCTAAAAGCTAGAATTCAAACCCTTGTTGCTGGCAGTACGATGACATGTGTGGCCTTTGCTAGTTCACTGTCCATTTAATAGAAACGGTTAACTGGATTTCGTTCTGCATAGTCAGCTTTGCTTTTGTGACAGAGCATGAATTAAACTTTTTTTATCTGCTACATTTTTCCTCTAATCAACAAATATTTTAATAGGCTATAATTAATCATGCAGAGAGGATAATTAGGATCAGAGGAACCTGTAGACACAGCAGGGGAAACAGTACTTTTTGACGGCGTTAATTTGATTTAATAGTAAGATATGAAGCATGCCTGCTGCTTCTGGAATGGAGATCACTGGAGTGGGACAAGGCAACTCCTGTTCCTTCGTGGAGAAGTTAGGCTCAGAAAGCTCTCCAGTCCCACTCTTGGGATGAATTATACTCACTGCAGGGCCTTTGGTAAAAGAACTTTATAGCAACGAGCAATTAATCTGTGCTGCCTTCTCTTTACAGCCTCTCACAGTAAGCTTTCTCTCTGTTACAGAGACGGGGCCCTCAGCGGTCTGTCGATGTGATAGTTTCTTCTGCGTTTTTGCTGACTCTCTCTGTTGTGTTTATCTGCTGCGCCCAGGTGAGTCTATTAATAAAACGCCCAATTCCAACATAAAATTTACTTTAAGGTATTGCTTTATATCTACTTCCGTTCATTCTCCTTCTTAGTTTGAGGGCTTGGGATTCATTTTTTTATCAACAGTAAAAGTTTTCCTACAGTTTATTTGCCACTGGTGATTTGAATACCCTAAAATGTTGTTTCATAGATGGATTTTAAGAATTTTAAAATTATTCTTGCTCCTGGGGCACAACCGTATCATGTCCATATTGCATTTTCTTTTCAGTGAATTTTAAGGGCATTTTGCTTATATTTCAGAGTACCCACCCGTTTTCTACAAGTGTTTAATCCAGCTCAGTCTTTGGAATGTGTAGGGTAGCAGTGAAACAGTGGGTGCAAGGCTAGATACACCCCGGGCATGATGATCAAAGTCCAAAAAGACAATAAAGGCCACACAGAACACCACCGAGGAAAGATCAACAGTTAAAGATGTTGTGTTGATGGTACTGTGGAGCAAAGCCAAGCAAGCAGCTGTGAGCTGAGGGTGCCAGCAGTGCTTGTCCTCAGGCAGTGTTCAAAGAGGTCTGGCTGCTACAGGTCTCAAAGGAAGTATCACTGCCTAGAAACCAGTGTTACAACCTCAAAATTAGTTAATGCATCTAAATGATCTAGTTTGTTTGAAAAATAGTTCATGAATGACATGGTCTAAGGCAGTGGTTCTCAAACTTTTTGGACCAAGTACCACCCCTGATCCAACCAAAGCATCCAAGTACCACCTACAAGTCATCATCTCATAGGAACCCCAGAAATTCTCAATGACCAACATGAGCGCGCGTTCACACACACTCACACATACATATAATAAATATTATAATATAAACTTTATTTGATATAGCGCCTTTAAAGGTGGCTTCTCAAACCGTTTTACAGAAAAAAAACAGTAACAACAACGAATAGAAATAATACAAAAGCACCATTTCAGTGAGAGTGGTGATTTAGTCGAGCAAAGCAGATGTGAAATAATTTTTCGAGCCTTGATACAATTCACAACAGAATCTAACAGGTTATAAATCGTCAGGCATTTTCTTGATGGAAAAGGTCTCGCAGTGAATGTTGCATTGCGTCCATTAATTTCTGGAGCAACCTCTAATTTGTGCAACTACACCAATATGTCGGCTTGTCATTGCTCTAGCACTGTCTGTACAAACTCTGACACATTTTATCCAGTCGATGCCATTCTCTTCGATAAATTCATTCAGAAGCTGAAATATGTGCTCTCCTGTAGTTCCTGTTGGTAGCGGTTTACAGAACAGAAAGTCCTCATGAGACGTACCCTCAAACTCGTATCTAACGTAAACAAGCAAATTGGCGAAATCGACTACAGACTCATCTAATTGCAGTGAAAAACATCTGCTTATTTTAACCCGCTCTATCAACATACTTTTAATATCATCCGCCATATCAATAATTCTATTAGTGACTGTGTCTTTCGGGGGAGCAGCAGGTCGAGCTGTTTAGCAGCTTTTTCTCCACACATCATAGTGTGGGGCTTACATGCTTTAGCAATCTGCAAGCTTGCATTTTTATTTCTGTATTTATTTTAAGTTTTTATTACATGCGCATGGGAGCGAAACACAGAGACGCTTGGTGTATTTTTCTCAATTTAACTTAGAACCGTTCTTAAATATTTTTCTGTTATCTATCACGTTTTTTTGTGCTCACAAGATTACCAGCGTTCGTAGCACGTATTTCTATGCATTCCTGTGCTTACAACATTGGCATTGTTCCAAAATCACGCGCATTCTCCTACCTCCCCATTTGCTGGAGATAGCTTTTGTTTTAAATACAATTGGTCACTTGCCATAGCACGCATTCCTATAGAGTGGTATAGAATTACATAGTAGCTCTGTGTCCACTGAAGTATTAGCGCGCACTGTATTGTAGTACGTAGGCTGCATATTCGACACGTTTTAAAATAGAAAAACCCGTCCCGATTTTTCAGCGCACACAACAAAGTTCCAGGGTCATATGGCATACCAGCTGGCTGCGTTATGCGTACCACTGCTGGTACGTGTACCACAGTTTGAGAACCACTGGTCTAAGGGTTAGGATACCTGGTTTTCACCTATGTGACTCGTGTTCAACTGCCAGTTGCGGGACTAGAGATGTCTACACTGACTGAATTTACACAGACAGGTTGACGGAACTGAACTTTCTTCACGAGAAAAGATTATGATGGAACCTGATAAAAGTATTTAAAATCCTCCAAAAGACACCAATGGAAACAGTGTTTTAATGCATTTAAAGCCAAGAATAGGAGGAACTTCTTAACCAAAAAGCTTGTGGGAGTATGAAACGGGCTACCCACCCATCCTGGGTGTATTCTGCTTTGCACCAGCTACTTGCCAGGACAGGATCTGGTTCCCCTGTGACCTTGACTTGGATGAAGTGGTTAGAAAATGGGTGATGTAATCACCTATGAAGAAAAGGGGTGGTAGTAAGACTTTTTGAGGATGTACCTGAAATTTTGGGGTCAGAAAATACATTGAAGTGATGCTAACTAAAGAAAAATACAGTTCCATAAGAATATGATGTAGGTTGAAAGTGATACATTTTACAGCTTGACAGTGATGCCAGATTTTTGAAAAATGGTTAAAGATAAAAGTCTGTATAGAACAATGTAATTCAGATATAAAGCAAGGCAGCATAATTCCCTATCTGTTGTCTGATACATTTCCTCCTCATCAGCTTTGGTCTTCATTGAAGATGTGCGCCATCAAGATGTGTATCTAAACCAGTCTGAGCTATTTGGTCTGTCGGGAATCAATTTTTCCAGTGTTGTTTAGAAAACATCCCGCTGTTCTGAAGAAAAGCTGCCATCAGGTTTTAAAAAACAGTCCACTGAGGCTTGTTAGACAGTGATAGTGTTGACAGGAAGGTCAGGCAGAAAGAAAGAAAGAATTAAAGTCTGCCAGGACAACTTTTCAACAAGGTGTCTGATCCCTCTCTGTCCTGAAGGGATATTCTGTACTCAAGGGGACGTTATATGACATTTCAAGCAACTTTGTGACAATATGTGCAGTATTGCTTCACATCTGCAATATAAAAGAGTGTTGATGTGTAAAGGTTCAGCTACTGTGCATTTTTAGTGCAACCCCAAAAACACCTGAAATACCTCTCTTGAAAGTTCCTCAGGTAAGCCTGCTGTACTCCTATAATGCTTGCAAGTGCAGAAGAGGATTATCTGAGATGTTAAAGGAAAGAGTCACACATCTTTCTAGTTTCATTCTAGTTCAAAACTGAAAGTCATCCTTTAAACTATAGCATGGGATTTAGTTATCACTCCTTATCCTACAATTAATACTTTTGTTAATGTCTTTCAGTCACACACCAGTACCTTTTATTTCATTTAACAGCAGTTGATGTTGTGGTACATTTATAGTGCAGGACATTTCATGAAAGAAAAGGCCTTGCATCTTTTCCTTTTTTAATTCATGGATTTTTTATAAAGATAATTATACTCTGATTCTATAGATGTTAAAAATATTCCCAAAGTTATACTAAAAGAGTAACTTTGTATTGTGAATAGAATTTTTTAAGAAAACAGAAAACAGTTTGTAGTCAATGCAATAAGCTTGCATACAGGTGTTATATTAAAAAATAAGAGCTGTAAAGATGAGGTAGATTTTCAATTGTGACAATCAACAGGTTTATATTGCTTCATGCAGTAGTGAAAATGATGTGTTGATATTGGTGTTGTTTCTCACTCAGACAGGAGATCTGAAGGTTCTCTGTGTTATAAAAGAATTGTATTACTCTTTGCTGGTGTACATTGAGTACAAATAGTGATGAGGGAGAAAATAGTTCTCTGAAGAGGTAGAGCTAAGGAATAGGAGGTTTCTTTGTTCTCTACTGTCACATCTCTTCAAGTCAAACAGCAGTGTCTTGGTGCAGACTTGTCCAGTCATCTGACCAAAATGATTTTCAATCACTGCAAACTCAGCTCAGCTGGGATCCATTACCTTTCCTGTCTCCTTCATTTTGTATTTATAAGGCACAATGATCCATGGGAAATATTACGTCTGACCTCTTTGACTGTTATTGGCACCATGGGGATATTTTTAAATCTTTCTGTGGGCCATTGAGTGATTATTCCTCATGTATTATGGATTTCATACAAGTCTGATAATATGCCTGTTAACATGAGCCTCTTCCTTTTGTCTATGGAGACCACCGATTACTATACATGCTATACATTATACTATACATTTGCTGAGTCTATTTGCAGTAGATATTACATTTCAGTAGCCATAATCTCTTTTTGGTCAAAATATATAATCTGCTTCATTTTCATCCACTTTATCACATTTGTTCAAATTGAATATCTTTTGCACATGGCTGGTGTTTTAAAGCCTAAAATAGCTTGATTTTTTTTAGAATATGGAGTATAATGTCTTGAGTGTCCTGACTGGTGTGGAAGACTAGTTTTCTGTCAGGTTTTATGATGTTTACTTTGAATAAAAAAAGCTATGGTGGTATGGTGGAAAAGGGCCAAAGGTAAGAATGCTTGATGTTTTATTTTGAGGAAAATTTGGATTTTCGGAAAATAAGGTGAAGAAATATTTAAAATTGGAAATCAGAAAAATTATAGAGTTAATTAAATAGCCCTTTATTAAAAACAGTTAAGTGATTAAGACTTCTCAAGAGGCTTCAAGTGCCTAAGTCTTTTCAATATAGGACACATAGCATTTATATCAGTATTGTAAATAACAGCACTGTGAAGATAATGTGATCGTTTTCAGGGCACTGCAAAATCTGTTACACCAAGTCTTTAATGTTTTTGTCCACAGCTTGTTGTTTTCATCATCCACCTAACCAATGACTCTCTTTTTTAGTTGCTTCACGTTCATGAAACATTCCTGGACTATCATTACAACTGGGAGCTGGTGATCTGGTGCATTTCCTTATCACTCTTTTTGCTGCGGTTTGTCACACTGGGATCTGAGACGAGTAAAAAATACAGCAATACCTCCATTCTTCTAACTGAGCAGGTACTCTTGATGGTGCATACTTTTTGCTGTCCTTACTTTTGAACAAGGTTCTGTCTTTTTTTTCTTGACTGACATCTCCCTAATGGGAATGTTACATAGTCTGCTCCCTCACTGCCACAGCCTGTGGAGACTCACTCTCTTCCAAAGACTCTCTGTGCTCACAAAGCAGAGAGTCACTTTTTATTCCCAGGGATTTCAGTTTTAATAAAAGCGCACCTCAACAAATTTGTGATATCCATTTACTCTTAAAGAAATTAAGATTGCTGTATAAACAGTCTGTATTTTCACATTCACACTCATAGCAGCTTCTTTCTGAATTCACATTCCTTCAAGCAGGAGAAGACCAGATATTTTGTCAACAAACATTTAGAGAAAGGATAGACTCAGTGTTTTAGATCACCAGCAGAAAACATTTAAAGCACACATGCAGACCACAATCTGGGATTAAAGTACTTTGGGGATAAAAGTGCTTTTAATGTGTAGCCTACATTGTGAGAAACAATGGTGCAAAGTTTTGGATTCACACTGTTAGCTTGGTAAGTTACCACTGTTTAAACTTCCAATTCCAAATTCATTTTCTTTAAAGAACTTGCAGTTATCAATTATTCTTTTAGCTCTGCAGAAAAAATGAATAGATTTATATGATTTTTCTTTTCTTGTAGAAATTCTTTCTATAATGGTATTTTGGCTTAAACATCTGGCTATGATATCTTCATCAGATTATCCTTTTTTCTTTGCGTTCTTGGGTTCTCTCCACTATTCACATCCTGTCACCACGTCTCAACCAGGAGGAGATCAGCAAGACTGAAAGGACCACATTGATGGTGCTCCTCTTCAGAAAAGCCTGTTTAGATTAGGCAGTGTGACGAGGGGTCACTGTCCTGTTGGGAAGTAGATATAATTCTAATAGGTCTCCAACATGGGAAAGCATGTGCTGCTTCTAAATATCTTGATATATCTCAGCAGCCTACAAACTTGTATTATCCAAATCTAACCAGTGCCGCAACTGCGGAGACATCCTCAAATTGTTATTGATCAATCCTGATTCTTCAATGTGATTCTGCTGGTCTCAAGGTGATTTCTTCAAACTGTTCTTCTTCCTGATGTCAGTATGTTCTAGAGGCTGATGTAATATTTTTGAGTCTCTGGACTTAAACACTTTACAAAAAAGAAAACCATTTCGTTCATGCTCAATATTTTATTATAACTGGGTGGGAGAGGGTGTATAAGCCTTAGCCTTGTATAAAACAAGCTTTCATTTGTATATCTGAGTATTTTTCTGTGTTTATGTTTATTCTAGTTTGTTTTAATGTCACACATTACCTTTGAAGATAAGCACACTGTGACAAGCCTTTCTCCAGAGTTTGTTTACTCTTTCAAACTGTCTTTAGCACTTTATTCTAGTTTTTATTTTAGAGTTCACTTTAATAGCATTGTTAAAACTATTAACAAAAGGAAGAAAACCAAACCTGTCAGTTCTAGTGTTCTTGTTTGTATGAGTGAAGCATACAGTTCAGTTTAATGGTTATATAGATTTATATTTTTTCCAGACTTGTCCTCTCAAGTTACAGAGTAATTTTATCTGAGAAAAATTGTTTTATGATTGAATGATTTAGTGATTTAGTAAATTATGCATATGCATGCACATAAGAAAGAGTATAAAATGTACACATTTATTAATCTAGATTCAAATTCTGGCCTGTCACTCATATGTTAATATCTATCAGCTTATTGTTTTCGGTTATATTTCGTGATCCTTTAATATTTTACTTTTTATATGTATTTATCAGCTATAGTTAAAATGATTTCCCATTGAATGTCCTGTAATAGAAGGTTAAATATAGTCATCAAGAGGACGTTTGCTCACTCTTGACTGGACTTTATTGTGCTCCTAGATAAACCTGTATCTGAAAATGGAGAAGAAGCCTAATAAGAAAGAAGAACTGACCTTGGTAAATAATGTGCTCAAACTGGCAACCAAATTACTAAAGGCAAGTGAAGTTGTTCACTATTTCTGAAAGAAACCCAGTGAAGAAACACACAAAATTAAACTTTCTTGCATTCTAAGTACTGCATATATTTAAAGGGGAAAAGTATTAATTTTGCTACAGGTTGTACACAGTGTTTTGTAATCAATCAACATTTTGACTTGTTGTGTTCCTTAGGTCAGTACATTGTTTTATATGGTGAGATGTTTCTTATGGGAGGTTAGCCAGAGCCAAACTCAGCTCTGCTTAAGGGCAATTAATGATTTATATCTAAAGCACAGAGGGCCTTTGAATTTGTGTTTGTAAGGAGGTATTGATTATTTAATACCACTGGGCTTTTGTCTAGTGGAAGTATTGTTAAGAATCTCTCTTCTTTATCAGGAATTGGACACACCATTCAGACTGTATGGACTGACCATGAATCCTTTACTTTACAACATTACTCAAGTGGTTATCCTGTCTGCTGTATCAGGGGTCATTAGTGATCTCTTGGGCTTTAATCTAAAGGTGAGTTTGTTAATTGATTCCAACTCCGGTGTTCAAAGACTAACAACTGATGGTCTTGATTGCAAAGGTTCCGTAATTTAAAGGTAGTTCATCTGAAACATCCTACACTACAGTACATATAACTTACATTCTCAGATGTTATCACTGGTTTAAAATAAATGCAGGTTATTTCATCAACAAACAAGTGAAAGTGACAACTCTTTCTCTTTTATTCGTACTTTTAGATGCTCAGGCTGAAAGTATTGAAGTAGTTTGTTGTTTTCTCCTTGCCCTGAAAGCATTTTTAAAGTTACTTGAGTATTCCAAGGATAGGATTTTTCTAATGGTCTCAGTCCTCTGCACCCATTAACGATAGTGATAGTTATAAAAATAAAACATAAAAAGATGATTGTTGACTGCATGACAGATGCATCTTATTGTAAGTCATTTCTGAAACTATTGACTGCTGAGGTCATATACATGGTCCTTAAAAAATTAAAGACTTTTATTTTTATTGCTTCATGGTGAAGAAAGACTCTATACAGTTCAGGGTGCTTATTAAATTAATTAGCTTCTTCAGAGAGCTGTCAACTACTTTTAGAGTGTAATGAAAACTTTGTAATAAAAGAGCAGTGGAATTTGTTATACAGACAAATGGAATCATTGATAGCATGTGTCCATGGAAAAACTCGGTGGTCACTGAACAGCTTCATGCACTGCTATCCTTCTGGGTGCCCAAGCCATCATAGACACATTGAGCTGTGCACCAGGATGTGCCATTATTCTTTGAAAAGTGTTCTTCTGGTCAGAGGTTTTTAAATGATCATAATTGCCTAGTAGGGAACGTCTACAGTACTGTAAATTATCATTTGAACATTACTGAATATTTCTGTGGACATCAATTTTTTTTACTTTGAAATTTGAGCTCTGAATCCTACAGGTTTGAGGCATCTTCACATAGAATATTGTGACAACGAAAGTCTGTCTCAGTGGTTTTGCTTTGAGCATCTTTAAATATCTAATCCTAACTCATGTGAAAGGGTAGTCAGGAGAACATAGTCACACATCTCACCTCACCTTGACATCTTTAAAGATACTATCTAATGTTTTATTCACAGCTCTGGAAGATCAAATCATGACAACAACAAGCTAAATGAATATTTCAATACCCTCCTGAAGTAAAGGAACACGTACTGATTGGAAAAGCTGCAGAAACTAACTTTGGGCTCCTTGATGATGAACTGTGCCCCATTCTAAGACATATCGAAGTGCTTACTTTTCAAACACTTGTGCAATTCAGATATTTATTTTACCCTTTCAGTGTTTGTTCTTCTCATTTGTTTTAGTAACTTGTTTTAATTGGAAAGTATTATTTTAGCTCTTTTGTTGATGGAAAGGGTGAGCAAGCAGCAGCAAAATGCCACATTTAAATGGTTTCACTGGAATTAAAAGGGTCATTGCACTTTTGATCATTTTTGTAAAAAAAAACCTAAGCAACTCTTGAGTAATCTTACTGCATGAGTAGTGCTGAACCTGCTCAAGAGTTGTGAGTTCACAATGAACTTTCAATGAGGCTGCTGTTAGACAGGAGAATATATTTTCAGAACAAACCCAAGCCAGACAACAACAAAAACATGTTTCCTAGCAGGGTTATTCATTCATTGGCCTGCAGTGTTTTCAAATCTGCTGTGTGATAAGGCTTCACAAAGGTGGGCATTCCAGCAATTCTAGCATAGGTTTCCAGAAATCTGTCACATTTCATTAGAAATGATCTGCACAATTTCTAGGACAGGAAGATTTGTTTGCCCGTGCCTCACCGATGTCAAAATCACATTGGTCTTATTAGAATCAGAGAACAGCATCCAGAGCTGAGAAACAGCAGGAAGCAAGAACTGTTTTTGTTTTCTTGCTGTAAATTAGAGTACGTGGTCATTAAGACACCTAATGAAAGTAATCTCTCTCTGTAATTGCCACCTTCAGTTCCCCCTTGATCATTTTGCGGGTGGGTCCGTAGTCACTTTCCTGAAGCAAGATCTCCAGACCCTTGTGGAAGAAGTCTTCAGGGAATGTCAGTTGGCATACATTTTAATCTTTTTTTTATTACCAAGTGTAGATTAAGCTTAACACGATCCACCTTTGTGGCTGTTTGTTTGGTCACAAATCTGATGTTCTCAAGATTTTCTCAGAAAAATGCACACGTCACCTCTGAGCAAAAAGTACCAGACTTGGAAACTAGCCTATTAATACATGTAAGGAAATGCAAAGAGCCGAACCAAAGATTGGAAGTCTTCAAGCCAGAAACCAATGGGCAATCATCCTTTTATGAACAAAAAATACTCTTTTGGGTCATCACAAGTGGCTCAATCACTAAAGGTGCTAACTTGAACACTGAGCATTTGAAATCTACTGTATGATCACAGGTCCAAGCCTGGGTCATATCACAAGCCAACTGTGACTAGGATACCCCAGGCACTAGCTGTCAATTGGCGGAGTGCCACTGAAGGGAGGGTGGGATTAGTAGGCCAGGGTTTCCTTCGTTCTCTCGCAATCAAAATATTATTACTACTATATACAATTTAGGTTGAACCACGTTAAAACCAGTAGCAAACTACAACAAATCGCCATTTATGTGTCCGGAAGCACTCCTTCACTGTACTGATAAAGGCCGAACAGAAATTACGTTAAGTTATCAAAGTAGTGTGCTCTCAGCAACACCATGATCTCTGCAGTCTCCCAGATGCTCGCAGATATGCACACTTGTCATTAAGAGACATGGACTCTCCTCCAGTCGGGCGTGGACCGTACAGTATGTTGCTGTGGTGCCTTTGATGTGATAAGACCAGAATGGCTCTAAGGGAGGTGGTTCAGAATGGAATCTGCCTATATTCTCTCCTTCCACCTGCGGTTGTAGGGTTTGGAGCTCCTAGCCAAGATGTGAAAAGCACCCAAAGTATTGTTCCAAAATGGGCGAGTATAAAGAAAATAATTTGTGATTCTAAAATTATAAAAAGGTGGAAGAATATCCTTTTGAGTATCTTTATGGAAGAAAGAGGAGATTAGAATAGAAGAATACATATCTGAAAAGGTGTGTTGTACATATCGAACCCACCAAATTCAAGTACCAAGTTCACAATGGCTTGTAGATTGAAAGATATTAGGAAGAAGAAATTGTAAATAAACAGGATTAGCCTCTCTGCTAATGTTGAAAGCTGTAATAAGAAAACTGTTACGGCTGCAGCTTGCAAACCCTTTCCTTTAGGCCTCAAGTTATGTGGCTCAGTCAAAACATACTTTTTGATGGTCAAGCTGTATTTAGAGCAATAATAGTAAGTGCTACAATGATTGAAAGTATTTTGACAGAGTCTAGAAATAACTATTATTTAAGACACTGGGCTTTGCTTGGCACCAGCTGGGCATGCCTGAAAATGTGCACTTTTTAGAAAGAAAATGTTACATGTTTCAATGTTAAAGCATCTTAAAACGAGTAAGAGCTTTTTTGTTATGTGTGTGTGAGACAGTCTGTTTGAATATGACCAAAGTGCATTTCATTGGATGAGAATGTATTAGCAACAGCTTTAAGAACTTTGCTTTTTATTGATAATGCTTTAAAGGAAATATGTTGCTTTTTGTTTTTTGCTTGTTTTTTAAAGCTGATCACTCATGCTTTGTAAACAATTTAATTAAAAACATTTGTAGCACTGAAGAAAGGTTCACGACATTAAAGAAGCTCAATTATTTTGTTAGTGAGAAAAAAATATTCTATGCATTGTCATTTTTTTAAAGACCGCATATTTAATGTTTTAGTTGGAAGTGCTTTTGTGAGCAGATTTTATTTATAAATGTTCCAGGTTTTTATACAAATTAAGGATACATAAGTATACTTAATAAGCTACAGTGCTGTGTTCACTACACAGACTTGAACTGCTTTAATTCTCTCCACTTTATCACATGACACTGTAATTAACATAAAAATATTAAAACTGTGTCCGACAATTTCAATGTTTTGTTCCATGTTCTTTGTCATAATTATACCATGCTTTTTTTATATCATTGTTTTATGTGTTTGTATTCCCACTACAAACTGAAGGTGATACTGTATATGGGTTTAGCATTGCACAGCAGATTATATTTTTCTTTATTCCATCCACATTTCCTAGATGCACTACACCATTATTTATCTCAACCAGTTGGAGAAAACTAGTGAATCATTTCTGTCAATGTACATTACAGTGGATATAAGATCCTGACATGTTTATTTTCTTTCTGTAAACCAGTAGATGGCACTGAAAGTACATAAGCTAACACTATTATTTAGGGAACACTTTAGGACATCATAATATATTAATGCATTGACCTAAACAGTTATATATAAAATACCATTGGGGTTAATGTCAGGCTAAGGCCAACATTAATGATTTGTTACTAACATGTGATTTATCTACAGTAGAGGTTGGTTATTACCAAATTAAGTCATTACTAGTACTTCATTAATATGTTACATTCATAAAATGTATATAAATGGCAATTGCAACACCTAGCTTAAAGCTAGGACAATGTGCAGGTAGTGATTGGACAGAATCCAAGCACAAGAGGCAGGAGAGTGGTGGAACACCCGAAGAGACCTGAATGGTTGGGGCTCGAGTGCTCTGTTATGGGGGTAAAGGAGGTCATAACAGAATAATCAGCACAGCCCAGTCAGTAAAGAACTGGCCGCTCCAGCTGGTCAGCAAAGAAAAAAGAACCGGGTGAGGTGTGTTGGTCTTAGGAGAAACCAGCTCATTCCATCCCTGGAGAAAAGAAGGAAAGGCTGGCCTGGGACAGCTTTGTAGATACTGCCCTGTAGACACTGCTCAGCACAGCCCTTTGGTCAGAATCAGGGAGCCCTGGCTTTGAGATGGAAGCGACTGGCAAGCTTTCCTCCAAAAAATGAACCACATGGGTCTTGGAGAGCAGCCCTGCTGAGTAGCCAGGTGTGCAGGTTGGCACGTTCGATGGTTAACGTGCTGAACAACCTGGGATCACAGCTGTGCTTCTCCCTGAAGGCTTCTCCAAGAGGAGCCCTGGTCGGTGCAGCTGCAGAGGACGATCCCAGTCAGAGCAAAGGAATTCTCGGGGAGCTCAGACTAACAGAGTGATGCTCACTAAGCATCGGAACAGGAGCAAGATGCCCGGCACGGCTCTGTTGGGGCACTGGTAGGTGGTTAGAAACTTAACAAAATAGAAAAGGGAAAAGGTGACCCAGACAGCCCGAGACACAAAATGTCGAGAGAAAGAATAAGAGTTTTAAAGGTCTGGAGAAAAAGGCTCCCTCAAAGAGAAGCCAGAGGAAAGACTAAAGTGCAAAGGCTGGACTCTCTACAGATTCGCTCTGTACAGAGAGAGAGCCCTGGAGACCAAAGCTGCCTCTCGAAGCTGAAGCCGTGGCGCAGGTGCAGCAACGGAGGGGGCTTTAGAAGCGCAGGGTGATTCAGCGGAGGAGGGTGAGTTCGGAAGAACAGAACCTACACACTCAGCCCGTTGACTGGGATTGGAAAGCCATGGCTCCTGGGGTGCCACTCACGTGGTCGTGGGGAGCGGATTCCCGCTACCAAGCAGAGGTCTGGTATCCCGGGGCCACGTACAGTAATTAGCCGAGGAAGCCTCAGAAGCTTCAGCCCACCGGAGCCCACAAAATCCAGGAAAAACGAGGAGAGTGGAAGTGGCACTACAACTGGGATGAAAAAAAACGTGTCGAGACAGGTAATGACGAAGCACAGTCAAAGCAGTTCCTCGGCATTAAATAGAGAAACCGCAATTAAATGATAGATTTGATCATTACTAATTAAGATAGATCATCAGAAGGAGATCCGGTGAGAGCAAGCAAGGTCTGGAAAACAATGAGAATTTGACAGTTTCCTAGGGCAACTGCCAACCGAGAGACATCGCATGACAGCGTCGTAACAGATTGCAAATATTAATTTTTTAAAATAATTTTTGTCCCGGAGAATCTCAACTGCTTAATTGTAACCCAACCTTGTAGACTGAATAACCATAATAAAAATAAATTAGTGATTTTAAAATTGAGCTATATCAATATATATAGAATTCATATATAGAATATGCTGCTGGTTAGGACTCTCTTTCCTTGCACTCAGATGGTTTATAGTAGGATACTGAACTGCTGCCAAGATAACTATGAGAAATTAATTATTTCTATAAGCATTTTCTCCAGTGTAGTTTATTCATCCTTATTAATGGAAACAGTGCCAACTGTCTGATCAAGCTAAATGTTTAGTTTATAAAAGTCTTCAGGGACTGCACATCTTTTAAAAATAAATTTGTGAGGAGTGATACTAGAAGACCAGTTTCACCTGGACAAACACCAGCATCCTGCATCTACTCCAGAAATGACTGTATAGATTTGAATTCTCAGCACAGGTCAGGTTGTAGTGTTGATAGCTATTAGGAAAAGTATTATACTGTAACAGTATAACAACAGTTTAGAAAGAAGATCTTTCTATATTGCGTCTTCTCCAGTTTTTTTGTTCTGTTTTTAAGGGAATATTTTTTAGTTATTATTTGTATCATAACCAATTTATGCTGCAAGCATCCAGATCCAAGACAGTCTACACGTAAAACACTTAAAAAAACACAAAGTGTAGTATAATAGTACATTGTGTAAATTGTAGCATTAAAAGCTACACTAAGGCAAATTAGTCTTTAAGTGAGTGTTAAAAATGGAAACGGTAACGTATCTAACGTATCTGGGCAATGAGTTCCACATACATGGTGTGGCAGTGTGATTTTGTTAATAGATATTGTATTTCTAGCTGCTGTAATACTGAAAAAGGCAACTGAAATACTTTCTGTTATAATGAAAAGTTAAATTGGTTATCTACTTGGCAATCATATTCTTATTGGAAGATCATTTTTATGGATTGTTACTCAGATCTGTTGCTTATTGTTTAAATGTCTTGAATAATTTACAGAAGCAGGTTATTTTGTTTAAATCTCCTTAAGAAATATTCATATAAATAGTTTATTCATAAATCCACATTTCTGTTAATGCATTTATTTAATCCTTTCATTACAAAGGATCTCGATGCAGTTTATATGTAGGAATGGTCTTCTATTACTGATGCATATCACCCACCTGGGTGCCAAATGGTAGCCATTATGCACCTGCTTCCTCTCTACAGTGCAGATCAGGTGGAGAAGTGATTACCAAATTAATTAAAGAGAAAATGTAGGCCATTTACATGCTTTATGCAAATACAGAGTGGAATTTATCCCCTATCACGAACACTGCTATGGCATCTTTAACGAACAAGTGATCAGGACGTTGCTATCATGTCTCATCTGAAAGACATCACCTCCTACAGCACAGTGTCCGATGCGCAAAGTGATGAAGGCAGCTTAATGTGATAATGATGATGTGGACTCCCAAGGCATATTGTACAGTAATTTGATATTTTTTTAACAATGTTTGGTTAGCCAGCAGCTAAATCACCCTGCAGCTCTCAACTGGCTGACTGAAGCTAAGCAGGGTTGAGCCTGGTACCCAGTACCTGGATGGGAGATCTCCTGGTTGCTGCTGGAAGTGGTATTAGTGGGACCAGCGGGGGGCGCTCACCCTGCGGTCTGTGTGGGTCCTGTAGTGGGTGCTGTCTTTCAGATGAGACTTTAAACCAAGGGCCTGACTCTCAGTGGCCATTTCAGTGGTCATTAAAGATCCCCCTGCATGTCCCGATAAGAGTAGGGAGTTGTCCCGGTGTCCGGGCCAAATTTCCTCCCTCTGCCTTTACCATGGCCTCCAAATTGTCCCCATGTATGACTGGCTTGCACTTGCCCTGCGATGGACTGGCACCCTGTCCAGGGTGTACCCTGCCTTCCACTCATTCCTTTCCGGGTAGGTTCCAGCTTCCCGCAACACCGTATGGTATAAAGCGGTTTGGCAAATGACATAACAAATTTTGGTTTTGAATTGTTTCTTAATACCACTAATGCTAAGTGTGCATTATTCCATTAATGTTCATACTCTTGTAATGGATTTACAGTAGCTGAAGATCCTTTTGTGCTTAACTGGTTATATGGTGTTCAGCACTGCACACACTGGCAAGTTCACACCACAAGCATCAAAACACACACAGGAAAGAGTCAAACTATATTGCTTTTAAATTGATTTCGGATCACCCAACTGTCAGTTGTTTATAAAAGACAAAAAACAACTTCCCAGTGGTATTTTCTTCTCCTTCTGTAGCCTTTAAGGCTTCCAGTTTTTCCTAATATTTGATCTCGACAAAACATGAATTATTCTACAATATATACAATAGGTAGAATTCTAAACTTACATATTAGTTGTCTGCATCTGAAACTAATTGTCTAATACTGTACATACTGTTTCATAAACTAATTTGTAAATGTTACTTGTTAATCAGGTTTTAATAAGCTTATATAAATAAGCTTTAAATAAGCTTAAATAAACCTTCAAGTTCATCACAAACTTTTTAATAATGAGATAAATGTCTTACTGTATATACTGTACTTGGTGAGAAGTATATTTTTCTAAAATTGTGATCTAGTGAAGATACAGTGAGTGCTGATTGCTTTTTGTTTCTTTTGCGTCTCTGAGGCCTCCCTGTAATAAAATTCTGTTATAAGATCTTGTTTTACCAAACCGGTATTATTCATGTGGGATGCAGCATATTTCTTATTAGTGGTGCCTTAATATTCAGATTCCACAAAATGTCTATCCTATCTGTGAAACTGGTTTAGGAAAACAAAATGAAAGCAGTTCATGGCCATTTAATGTCAGTCTTGACACAAAGTAGAAGTGATGTACATTCCTTAAAATGAGGGGAAAAATCAGATAAGAAAACCAGGTTTCTATGGTGAGGAGGGAAAAGGTTGTACAGTATATGAGATCAATTTGCAAACATCATGTAGTTGGTAAAGTAACTCCTGAGCAAAATGCTGTGTATGCATTTTATTAGACTTTCATCAGCTATCTGATA